TCCAAGAATTCTGGGTGACGGTTGTCCCTATTTGGCCCTATGGCTTTGACCAGCCAAGCCAAAAGTATTTCATCAGTATGGGTGCTTTTTTCAAAAATGAAATTACATTTTAAAAATTCTTCAAAATTCTAAATTTTTAAAATTGTTAACTAGTGGCCAGGAGCCATCTTTGACCCTACCGAGTTAGCTCAAGTGAGGAACACCCTATCTTGTTCTTTCCCTTCAAGTTTGGGACAGATTGCTAACTAAGTCTGTTGGTGCAGCAGGTCAGTAAGACCTTGCTCCTGGGAACAGGGTGTTTGCTGACCTGCCTGCTTCCCACACAAGTGTCTATTTCAGTCTGATGGGCCCTTCATGCCAGCTGAGGCTGCCCAGGTGTGCTGCAGGAAGTGGCCTCCCACACTGGCCCAGGGTCCACCATGAGTAACTGCCTTGTCCACACTGGGTTTACTGATGCTCTCAACTGTCTGCCTCTGTTTCTCTGTGGACCAGATCCCAGTATAAAGAATGAGGGCCCCAATGGAGAGTATTTACCGATTACTTAGGCTTATTTCTGGGCTTTCTTAAAAACCTTTCACTCTTCTACCACTTTGTATGTGTTCACTCACACGGTGTATAATCCACCCAGCACCTGCTGGCCTCCACTAGCGTGTCAGTGTGAAGAGGCAGGGGTGTGGGCCAGCATGGAGAGTGCCCTGACTGAGCGTTCGCTGGGCCTGCGGAAGCAGTAAGTAGACCAGCATGACTCTCCCACAGGGTGGGAATGCACTTGGCAGGTGTTGTCTGGGGTTGGGGTGAGGAGGCATCTGAGATGTTAGGAGGAGCAAACCTGGGTCTATCTAGAAAGGAGGGACAGGGCGCCGGCTGGGGCGACATGATTATTAGGTGGGTATTGAGAGCAGTAAGATACATGAAGAGTGACCCTCTCTAGCACACCACATCTGGAAAGGTGGGGCACCCTCAGCGAGAGGCACATGGAAGAAGCTAGTCACAGGACCTCCCCAGGTCACGCCATGACCAAAAACTCACTGCCATCAAGTTGATGCCAACTCATAGCGACCCTGTAAGATAGCACCTATGAGTTTCGGAGACGAACTCTTTACAGAAATAGAAAGCCTCGTCTTTCTCCTAAGAAGCAAATGGTGGTTTTGAACTGTTGACCTTGGGGTTAGCAGGTCAATGCATAACCAGTGTGCCTTAGGTCTGTTTCCCAGACTCCAGGGAAACACTGGTCCCCATTGGAATCAGAGAGCTGGAATTCAGGACGGAAGACCAGGCTGCGGAGGAGCTCACAGCATGTGAAGAGGTGGGAGCAGATGGACAAAATCTGGGATATTTTGTAGTTTTTGTTTTTCCCAAACTTTTTTTAGTACTAGAACTTCTTATTGCTTCCTCCTTAGGAAGAATGTTTTTTGCATGTAACCTATGGGCAGATAGCACAGTTGGGAGCTCCAAGACCCACAGGTACTGTCAGGACAGGAGAGAAATGCACACAACCAATGATGAGTAAAGCCAGTCTTGTCCCCGTCACTGGTGTGCACAGCAGTTTGGCTTCTTTAGAAGGCATTTTGGTAGCATAATTTTTAATTTAAAAATTCAGATATAACCTTTGAGCCAAGAAGCTCACTTTTAAGAAATTATCTAACAGAAACTTTGCACAAGTGCCTAAGACATAGGTGGAATACATTCATTGCCATTCTGATTGCAATACAGATAAATTGCATGTATTTCAAAACCCATCAACAGCGAGTACAAATTATTGACAAATAGCTATAAAATTATCTGCTGATTACATGGCAGTGGTCAAGTGAAACGAAGCAAGATGCAGAATCATGGGTCTAGCACGGCTACGTGTCTGTGAAAACGACAGAAACTCAGGTGTTGGAGGGCTGTGACTAGGCTGAACGGAACTCTGAAACAGAAGTGATCTCTGGGAAGTGGGATGAGAGAGACTGTGTTCTAAGACTTGGAGAGCTGTCGTGTTTCCTTTTGACTCTCTCCGTCAAGCATTTATTCCTACCCGTTGTTTTTAAAGACTGTCTGGAAAGGTCGAGAGCGCCAGTGTGTGCACTCTGAAAGGAGACGCATCCAGCAGCTTCACGCCTCCAGGAGCTGGTGAGGACAAAGTGGGACCTCTGTGGCCAAGAATTTGGAAACAGGCAACCACGTCAGAAGCCACAGAGATGCTCAGGTTTGGTGACTGTCCAGTGACAGTGAGGAAGCCAGCATCCAGTAGCGCGTGGACTGAAACCTCTGAATGCTAAGTGGCCAGTGATCAGAAGACCTGTGCTTGGCTGTTGCCAGCGACTGCACCTTCCTGTTCCAAAGCACTGATCCTTGGGGGGGTGGGGTGGGGGGGTGTATAGTCCTTCTGTTTGCCCGCCTAAGCCCTTGGTGCTTTGTCAGAAGTCGGGTGACACTTCCAGTCTGTGCTACTGTGTCATTCTGTGTACACGGGATGTTCACACAGCAACAGACCTTCAGGGAATGCTGCCAGCCAGACTTCTCTCCAGGCCACTGTTCACAGCATGGTGAGGCCCACAGTGCCTCGCCCCGCACGCCCTCTGGCACACCTTCCATGCTCCTGACCTGGCCCTGCTCCTTTATTTCCCTCCTAAAGTTGGGTGATGACTAACATCCACACAAAGGCAGGCCCACTCAGGCGGTCTGCTTTTATTCCCTTGATATCTAGGTCTGTCCCCTTTTCTTTTGTTTTGAGGCTTTCAGCCATCCTGCTTAGCAGGTTCCCACCTGGTTTGAGCAGGTTCCTGAATAGAGTGTTTTCCTCACCCCAGGAGTTAGGGCTATTTACCTCCCCCAACTGGGGCAGGTTGGGGATCTTGCAGAGAGGGCTTCCCTGGGGCTGCATGGCCTCCTTTCTGCTCTGCTCAGCTCTCCTCCACGCTGGGCTGCCTGTCTTCACTGTCTCCTTACCGAAAGCTCGCTTACCAGGTAAAAAATAGCCAGCCCTCCAGGTATGGGGCTTTTCAGAAAGGAGCACCTCACACTTTTGCGTTTCAGATCTGAATGTTCTTTGAGACCAGGTTGTGTTTGCTTGGAGAACTTGATCGGCATCACTCTCTTCCAGTGTTTTGTGTTTGGTTTTTGCCGTGTCCCTTCAGACTCCTGTGGTGATCCTTTTTCTTAAGAGTGTATTTTAATTTCAAAGCTCCCCTGGGACTTAAATCCATAACCAGCATTGTTAGCACCCACCCACCCAACTGTGGTTAGTGTGAGGAGTCCAGATGGTCTCTATCCTGAATGTAGACCCACGCTGAGACCGACACACATTCAAGTCACAGTTGCTCCTGATTGGCTTACTCTCAGTTCTCATAAATACCAATTGTCCCCCTTAGAAATTGGGGTAAGACATTCCACTCATAGTCCTTCAAACTCACCATCAACTTGATTCTTACTCACAGTGACCTATAGGCCAGGGTAGGTCCCCTGTGGTTTTCCAAGACTGTAGCTCTTTATGAGAGTAGAAAGCCTCATCTTTCTGCCACAGAACGTCTGGCGATTTTGAACTTCGGGCCTTAAAGTTAGCAGCCCATTGCGTAACCACTGTGCCACCGGGGCTCTAGTCCTAGTCCCTAGGAGGTTCAGATGGCTAATGTGCTGGGTTGCTAACTGAAGAGTTGGTGATTTGAATTCGCCCAGAGGCACTTTGGAAGAAAGGCCAAGTGATCTACTTCGGGAAAAACCAGCAGTGGGAGCCCTGTGGAGCACCGTTCTACTCACACATGCGGAGTCACCATGCCTTGGAGCCTACTCAGGGCCACTGACCCTGGGTCTGTCATTGTGTCTCACAACTGGGCTTCAAATGGCAGCAGACCATCCATTTCCAAACACCCCATCGACTCTGCCTGCCCTGAGTTTTGAGCTGACGACAGTGAGCAGACAGTGGCAGCTCTTCCTCTGCCAGATGTGTTCGTCAGGGGCTGGGTGTTCTGTCTGCACAAGCAGAGACACGATGACTAGTAAACGTGAGTTAGCACCATCTGGCTTGAGAGATCCCACCAGGGATAAGCATTTGGTGAAAAAAGTAAATGTTCGGTGACACTGTTCCCTCAATGGTATACTTTCAGAACAGCTTGCCGAGCTGTTTTTTTTTGTCTCAACAGCTTGATTCCTAAGACCTAAGGCTCTTCACTTACTCACCTTGAAAAGATGTTCAGGGACCACTTGCATGCAGGCTCTCTGATCTTAGACAGCGGGAGTTGTTTGTTTTGTATTGTTGGTTTTTTACTTTGTTTTGTTCTGTTTTGATTTAATTCTAACTGGGAGCAAGGCTCTTAGGGGAGTGAGCCTTCCTTTCAACGAGTCTGGCCCAGAGGCAAGAGTTGACAAGACTGTGGCAGGGAGACCTTGTACCTCTGAACATTTCCAGTCACTCATAACTACTTTCAAATGTATAAGCACCCTTGTGGAAATGAGTCTGTGTGTTAACAGGCCCGAGTATGCACGTGTCAAGTCGAATGTCACATCTCCTGATGGGCCCAGGGTAGGATCGAATGGAAGGGATGTGGCGTGGCTGCACACTCTCTCTGACCTGTGGCATCGGGTCTTGGAGATGGTTTGTCCCTTCTTCGTTCAGAAATGTGAGCAGCTGTAAGCGTTCGTTCTCTCAATGCTGGTTTCTCGATTGCCAACAGTGCCCTAGATGCTGGGTGGTAGGGAACATGGCCGAGCCAGACAACACAGGCACTGCCCACCCTCTGGAGCAGATGGCTTGGTGAAGAATGCAGATTGTAAGGGACGAGTGTTGTGAGCTATGAAAGGGCTGTGTTGGCCATGGGGGCCGCAGACTGACTGAGCACCACTGCTGGCTGGCCAGTGCTACACCAACGAGCTGGTCCTGTCTCGGGGGCTCGTGGCCTAGGCAAGGGACGGTGGACAAGCAGGGTCGGAGGGGGCTGGCAGACCATAGTGGTGGGCTCTGTGGGGACAAGGGGTGGGGCACGGTGCGCAAGTGCTGATGCTGCCTCTGCCTTCTGTAGCATGGACAAGGACAGCCCTGACATCCACCAGGACCTGAACGCGCTCAAGACCAAGTTTCAGGAGGTACGGAAGGCTGTTGCCAGCATGCCTGGCATCCACTTGAGCCCTGAGCAGCAGCAGCAGCAGCTGCACAGCCTCCGGGAGCAAGTTAGGACCAAGAACGAGCTGCTGCAGAAGTACAAGAGCCTCTGCATGTTTGAAATCCCCAAGGAGTAGCATGAACACGTAGCCAGGAGCGCCAGACCCTACGTACTCCCCATGGCTCCCCAGGAGAGCCTGTACCAGACCTCAACTCTGACCGTCCGCATGGAGACTGAACTCGAAGGCTCTAACAGAGCCCCTGTACATCCGAGTGTCTAGGTAAATAAAGGCCAGGCCCTGCTGCTGGGAGGTAGGCTGCGGGGGGGCGGGCCCTCTGCCAGAGGCCGGCTCCCCTTGCTGCTCTGAAGAACACGAGGTGGTGTTCTTTCTGCTTCCTTCCCTCCCTCTCCTTTTCCCCTTGGTGCCTACCAGGTACATGCCGTTCCTGTGAAGGCTGTTTGCGCAAACATTTGCATAGAACCCACTGGATGAATTATACCTGCCTTGGGATACCATGAATTGAGAGAAAGAATGTTGTTTGGAAAGACTATAGGTAGCTTTACACTCTCCCCACTCAGCCTCATTTGGGCCCTTCCTGCAGCCCCTGTCTCCAGCTTCTCTGCCTCCCCCGTGTTTTCCCGTAGCTCTTGCTCCCTTGCTCTCCTTTCACCTGTTGGATCCTGTCACTGGCCGCTTGATGCCAGAGAGTGGCAGCCCTCAGCAGAGCGCTCTGAGCTGACAAGCTGACTGCCCCTCTTGCCTGCGCTGAAGCTGCTTGTCAGCTGAGCAGATCTTGCCCTCCTAGCATTAGTGGGCAGGTGCTGGGAATTGCCTCCTCCCCTGGCCGCCTCACAGAAATGTTTTGCAGCACACAGTAACTACCCTGCCACACCAGCATGGTGGCCTGCACCTCGGCTCAGGGTGGCAGCTGAGGCACCATTCTGAGGCAAGCAGGCCAGTGCAGCCCTCGGCCCCAGCCCCGCGCCAGTTTCTGCCAGGCATGGCCTTGGATTTATGAGTGCTCCCCACCCCCCACCCCCGACGGTCAAGTTGGGAGTCTATGCCTTGCCTTTAAAGGATGAGAAGTGACTGTATGGTGTTTAGATCTACAAGTGGACACCTCACCTGAGCTGGGCTGGCCAAGGGCCCTATCAGATGCCCACTGACTGACCTTGGTGGCTGGAACTCTGGCCGAGGTGTATTTAGAGGGTGGCTGCTTGGGTGGGAGCCCAGCACAGCAGAAGAGCATGCTGTGACTGTAAGTGGGCCCTTACCCACCAGCCCAGTTCTCCCTTGGAGCTGCTATTTAACTGAATCAGTTATTTTCTAGAGATTTCAAAGTAGTGTGTGGGCCGCTTTTAAGGTCCTGACCAAATACCATGAACCTGGGGCACATGGAAACAAACTACTAGGGTCTCACTGTAAGGCCAAGGTGGACACAGGGCTCCTTGTAGGGTGCAGGAGGAGACTGGTGCCCTGCCCCCCTCCCCCTCTCCCCCAACACAGTGTTTATAGCCACCTTCCGCGGACTAGACTGCGTCCGGTGTTTTCACGGGTGGAAGTTTTTGAGGGTGGGGTCAGAATCCCTCCTGCTGCCCTCCCAGGAGGTCTTGTATCTGCACCGAGGAGCCCACAGCAGGTTGCCTCGGGGCTAGCCGACAGGAAAATGTTTGCTTTACTTAGAGCGTACACAGAATAGTGGAAACTTGACTCCTCTCTTCCTTACCCCGACCCCTGACACACCAGTCAGCCAGGCCAGCGTCAACAGAGTCAGTCGTCTCCCGGAGTGGCCAAACTGCCCGCCCAAGCAGGTGTCCTTTTGGTAGTTTGAGGAGGTTGGAGTCTGTGAGGGCCTCCAGAGCGGGGTGACATCCCTACACGTAGCCACTTGGGAGACAGGGCAGGCCCTCATGCTCAGTACCTTTCACCCGCACAGCAGCCCCACGAAGATGGCACTCAGGCCTCTGCAAATGAGAAATGGGCCGACGTGGTGGGTGGGCTTTGCCCTGAGTTTGCAGGAGCTGTCTGTCCATAGCAGTAGGGGATGCCCTGAGCAGGCACCCGGAGACAGGGCAACGGAGCAGCATGGCAGACGTGCAGGGGACCCCATTGGGGGCAGCAGGTGTTGCCTGGGGGTCGAGTGGGAAATCTGGGTTTTTAGCTGCCCCTGGGTCTGGTGACAAGACAGCGGGGCACAGTTCTGGGGGAGCAGACCTAATAGCCGTTGTCCCGTCACTGAGAGGACAAAGAAACTTGGAAACTGAGCTCAACTGAAGCCAGCACCAAACAGGTTAATAAATACACCGCAACAGTTGAGTGTGTGGTCAGCTCCTTGTCTGTGTAGCCTGGTTTTCCAACCTGCCCCTCCCAGGGAGCCCTTTCCCAAATAGAAGGGCTTTACCCATCTTGCCACATTGGGGTGGGGGCATCTGGAAATCGCGAGAGCCATTTATTCCATGACTGTTGATGTTATCCCGGGACAGCAGGGCGGACTCTCCAGTCTGGGAAAGGTGTGTATAATTCCACATCTGTACAAACACCCACCATGCCACCCTTCTCCCAACTGCCCGCCCTCCGGCCAACTTGTAACAGCAAAGAATGCCACATTTTCCATTTTAAATTATTTGTTTTATATTTAGAAAAACAAAACACAACGAACACTTTAAAGATGGTCTCACACACACAGTATATAAACACCCGGGTAGGATTTTGTTCATGACACCAGAACTTAAAGTGCAAAATGCATGGTTTGTTATTTTCTCCCGTCAACAATTTCACACACACGTGTAAACAAGTCGCTTGGGTCAGAGTTGTCCAAAGCCACCAATTGGCTTCTGAAGGGCAAAAGCTTTCACCAGCTGTGATGACAACCCAGACCCCAGACAAGATAATGCCCCTGTGGCCTCCCACCCTCCTCGAGCCCAGGGCAGGATTCTGCCTAACTTCCCTGTCGCATCCCCAGCCTGCTCTCATCCTCGGGCGAGCACACCCCCCTCCCCTGGGCTCGCGCTCCCCCAGTCGGGGCTGCGGCGAGCCCAGTCGGGGCCGTTCAGTCCTTCCAGAGCAGATGGCGGGGACTTCTGGAGGCGCCCGCGCATCCCCGGCATCTTGGAGCCGTGGGCGCGCGTGCTGGCTGGAGCCGCGGATTTCACTTTTAAACAAAAAGGTTCTCCGTGTGTTTGGTGGCCGGCGCAGCTGGGGCTCCTAGCTGATGATGCAGCGCTCCTTGTCCTTGGCTTGGCCACCACCACTGGCCTTCTCGCGGATGTACATGAGGTCGCTGTGCACGCTGGGCCTGCGGGCGAAGGGCGCCACGATGCCGACGGCTTCGCCGGGGTCGCCGCTGGCGCGCAGCAGCTTTTTGCCGCGCAGCCCCTTGTGCAGCACGTCGCAGTACTGCACCGACACCTTGCGGTGCAGGTCCGGACTCATCTCGCTGGGCAGCTTGGCCATGGCGAAGAGCGCCCGGAACATCTGGTCTAGGCTGCTGTTCTTCTTGGCCGAGATCTCGAAGTAGGCGCAGCGCTGGGGGTCGTCCCCCACCAGCTGCTCGATCTCGCGCTGCCCCACTTCCCGGTAGAAGTCCCGGTCCCCCTTGTTGCCGCAGATGACCACGGGCACGTCCACGTTCTCCTTGGTTTTGTTCTTGAGGCAAGACTTCGTGTCGAGGATCTGCTGCTTAAGCCGCTGCACCTCCTCGAAGGAGTCGCGGTTGTCTAGGCTGAACACTAGGATGAAGACGTCCCCTGCAGGGCACAGAGAGGGAAGAGGAAAGGGTGAGGGTGGCCGCCGAAAGGACGGGTTGGGGGTGCGGACCTCTCCCGCCGCGCAGCACCAGGCGCGCGGTGGGGCGAGTCCAGGGGGGGTCTCCGCGGCCCGCCCGCCTCCCGCTGCCCGGGGCTCAGACCCCGCCGTGGGCACTCACCAGTGAGGATGGAGAGGCGCCGCATGGCGGGGAACGGGTGGTTGCCGGACGTGTCGAGGATGTCCAGCTGGTAGACCTCACCGCGGATGGAATAGAATTTGCGGTGGAAGTCCTCGATGGTGGGCGTGTAGGTGTCCTCGAAGCGGCCCGTGAGGAAGCGCGACACGATGGCCGTCTTGCCCACCTTGGACGAACCAAGGATGACCATACGGTAGCAGTTCTTGGCCGGGATACTCAGCTCTGAGTCGCTCGGACATAGCTTCTTGATCATCGCGGCCAGTTTCATTTGGTGCCGGAGCCACGGGAGGTGGACGCGGGCCGAGGGAAGGCGCGAGGCGCGGCGGCAGTGCGCGTCCCTGTTGCAGTCGGCGGGGGCTCGCAGGCGCTGGGCGGTCAGTGCGCTCTGGCTCCCCGCGCCCGGCCGCCGACTTTATGAGCGTCCCGGCCGCGCCGCCCCGCCCCTCCCGCTGCGTCACCGCCCCTCCGCCCTGCGCCGCAGCCGCTCCCCCGCTCTGCCCCCTGCGCGCCCGGAGGAACTGCACCCCGGGGCCGGGGCCGTCCCCGCTCTGCAACACGCACGTGCGCGCAATACCTGCTTCGAGGCTTCGTTTCCCCAGGGAAGAATTTTAATTCCGTAAAAGCAGCGCCTGCTAGGTATCTACCAAGAGCCCGGCACTGTGTCAAGTGTTGGACATACATGATCTTTCAGAGCCCAGAACATCAACCCCAGCCCAGCTCCGGAACCAGTCCCCGGCCCCGCGCGGCTGACCGACCTCCCTCCAGTTTTCAGGCCGACCCTGCTGGGCCCCCAGATCGGAAATGGGCGCTGTGCGTGCAGCGGCCGCCAGGGGGCAGCAGAGGGCGCCACCGGCCGCGCGGAGACGGCTCTCTGGGCTGTGGGGAGGGGCGAGGAGCAGGGCAGCCAGGTCTGGGGTCCAGAGGGAAGCGGAATGCCGGCTTTGCGGCGCGAAGCCTGGTCTCGGCAGCGCCTTGCTCCAGGATTCCCTCCACTAGAGCTGCTCTGTGGGCTGGCAGGGCTCATAGCCATCCTGTTCCTACCCCTGACTCCCAAAGACCCAGAGGTTCTTGTCCTAGACCAGCGTTCCTGTCCTCAAAGCGCTTTTGTGGACCTTTACAACCCCTTGGGACAACATTCCCAACATTTTAGTTGGTGAGCCTGAGGTTTGGAACCAGGGGGAGTTCGGGAAGACCCCGAGATCATGACCCCGTCTCTTAAATCCATTTCCAGGACTGGTCTTTTCTCCAGTGAACTTCTCGGCGCTCTTCGTGGCTGCAAACAAGACAGGAAGTGGGCACCTGGAGCGAGGGGGCGGCTATGGACTCCTTGCTTCTCAAGGCATCCCGGTACAATGGCTAATTTAGCATTTGACTGTTAACAGATAAGGCTGGCCTTATCTCTAAGGGGAGACAGATTCCATAAGGTACACTACCTTGAAAAGGCCCCGGATAAAGTGGGAGAACAGTGTGGGGCAGAACTCAGAATCATTAGAGACCAGCCTACTGGTCAGACTCTGGCCCTTCGTCACCCTGCAGATGTGGAGCTGAACTTACCCGTGCATTTAGAGATCAACACAGTACTTAAGATCAAAGGGGCAGCACTTGCCCAGGACAGAGAGCTGGACAAGGAGGAGGAAACAGAGGAGAGAGAGGAATGCTGGTTCACAGAGGGCACCGTGGACGTGTCGAAATGAAACGTGTGTGAACTGTTGGATGTAAAACTGACGGTCTGCTCTGTAAACTTCACCCACTTCATGATAAAAAGTTTTTAAAAAATCGTTACAGTCCCGAAAGCCCAGGGGCAGTTCTTCCCCGATGGCAGTGGGTTTGTGTTGTTGCCCTGCCTTCAGGAGCCCTGGGGGCATATGCAACCAACTCTTCACCTCAAGTCAGGAGTTCAAAACCACCAGGTCCTTTCTCCATGAGGGAAAGACAGGCTGCCCACTCCCCAAACTGTTGGTCTACCCTGGAAAGAACTGTCCTATTGGGTCACTGCGAGTCGACTCGATGGCAGTGAGCTTGGTTTTTTGTTTCCTCGGGGCTTCAGTTCCCTCTCCTGAGGACGATGGGGCTCTGGCTCTGTGACCACTTTATAGGGGTGGCCTGGTAAGGAAAGCAATGCTAGACAGTGTTCCCGGGGGTCAGACTCCAAATAGCAGCCCGTGCCGTGGAGTAGAAGTGCCCCGGGGGGTGCTGCTTGGTTGGAACCTTTACTGAGGCAGACTGCCAGGCTTTTCTCTACCAGAGCCCTGGCTCACTGACAACAGTGCATGGACGAGCCACGAGACACTAGCCGGGCAGACAGGTGGCAGCTAGTTGATCAGTAACCAGGAGTGGGTTGATGCTGCTGAAATGCCCAGCAATAGGCCGTCTGGAAACACGCTCTCCACCTGGCACTCATGAAGAAGCCATTACCCTCCCCAGTGACAGGATCTGCTTTTACTGTGTCTGGTTTGGGAGGGACCCAGCAGGCTAATAGCTTGGCCTCCCCCAGGCACACACACTCGGGTCAGGGCGCTTTGACTCTCGGAGTGATTTGTGGGAGAATGATTTGGCAGCTGTCTGCAGCTGGTCCAGGCCTCAGGAGGCGCTCACCTCAGCCACAGCCATGACTTGCTGACTGAGAGCAGGGCACTGCGCCCAGGGCTGCTATGGCTGGTGGTGGAGGGTGTGCGCTGCAAGGGGGGCAGCCAAGGGCGCAGTGGGGCAAGGCCTACATTGCCTGGGACCTACAGAGGCCCTGTGTGGCAACTGAGCTCGGACTCCATAGAGCTTGGATCTCCTTCTGTGGGCTGGGAGTACACCTGGACATGGCCGTCCTCACCGTGGCCCCTGCCCTCCGAGGTTAACATCTTGGACTGAGGTCCGAGGGCCCCAGAGTGGCGGAGTCATCTGGAGACCCAGTGACAGGCCCAGCCTGA